CTCATCCTCATTTTTTTATCTTCTTCTTCTTCTTCTTCTTCTTCTTCTTCTTCTTCTTCTTCTTCTTCTTCTTCTTCTTCTTCTTCTTCTTCTTCTTCTTCTTCTTCTTCTTCTTCTTCTTGCTGTTGTTGTTGGTGCTGCTGCTGCTGCTGCCGTTGCTCCTGCTGCGGTTGTTGTTTTTGGTGGTGGTGGTGGTGAAGGTGGTGTTGCGGGGTGCATAAAACCCCACGTACAGATAATATACCCTGACCCAAGCTGAGAAAGGCAATGATGATGATGATGATGATGATGATGATGATGATGATGATGATGATGATGATGATGATGATGATGATGATGATGATGATGACCGTCCCATTGTTGGTTGTATTTTGTTTGTTTGGGGGGGGGGGAGGGTTGTGTTTTTAATCAGAGTTTTTCGGCGCTCGCAACTGCATAAAGTCATATTATGAGCGCGCGAAAAAAAGTTGGTTCTATTCGCAACAGTTCACTGCACAGCACGATTCTGGTCAACACCTCTACTAAGGTGCTAAAATACTAAAAATTTGGTGTATATAAATTCTTAATTTAAGATAACTTTTTTAATAACTTGTCCCAATGTTTGTCTGTCCAGTGTGAGGATGACGTGGGAGACTCCTGTTCCCTGACTGAGCCCTGCTGCCCTCCGCTGCAGTGTGTCCAGGGAAAATGTATCCCGGTGAGTCTGTCTGTCTGTCTGTCTGTCTGTCTGTCTGTCTGTCTGTCTGTCTGTCTGTCTGTCTGTCTGTCTGTCTGTCTGTCTGTCTGCGCGTGCATCATATCAGTGAGCCCTGCTGAGCTCTGCTATAATGTGTCCCAATGTATCCCGGTAAATTTGTTTGTGATTGTGAGAGTTTGTGTGGTTGTTTGTGTATGGGGGAGCTCGTGTGTTTGCTTGTGTGAGTGAGAGTTTGTGTGTTTGTTTGTGTTTGTGAGAGTTTGTGCGGTTGTTTGTGTTTGTGAGATTCTGTGTGTTTGTTTGTGTTTGTGAGCGTTTGTGTGTTGCCTGTGTGAGTGAGAGTTTGTGTGTTTGTTTGTGTTTGTGAGAGTTTGTGCGGTTGTTTGTGTTTGTGAGATTCTGTGTGTTTGTTTGTGTTTGTGAGCGTTTGTGTGTTGCCTGTGTGAGTGAGAGTTTGTGTGTTTGTTTGTGTTTGTGAGAGTTTGTGCGGTTGTTTGTGTTTGTGAGATGTTGTGTGTTTGTTTGTGATTGTGAGATTTTGCGTGTTTGTTTGTGATTGTGAGAGTTTGTGTGTTTATTTGTGTTGGTGAGAGTTTGTATGTTGCTTGTGTGTTGTTTGCGTTTGTGAGAATTGTATGAGATTTTTATTGTTGTTTCTTATGGGCCCGCCTTAACTTATCAGGAATTCTCACTTTACGGGTAGCTATCCAAAACCTCTAGCAGGCAAACCATTTATTTGGGGCGGTTAGAAAAAGACATTCAACTTCGTTTATCATGCAGATACATATTTCGCTTCAATGTTCTTCCCTTGAAATACCCCAAAAAAAAGGGGGGGGCAGCTATAAACTATGTAAGATCGTGGCTCTGACTTGTGTTTGATGGTTCGAAAACTGCCGCAGAATTGCCTTTTGTCTGTTGCTGAAAAAAACGCTGGTGGTTTGGAGGGTGCCACTTACTTCTTTCCTTTCCCTCTGTAGTTCTGTCTGTCTGTGTGAGTGGTTGGAGGGTGCCACTGGTAGGTCTTGCCTCCTTACTTTCCCTTTGTTGTTTCTGTCGGTCTGGCCTTCTTTTTTCCCCAGCACTAAATGACCATTATTGTGTCGATGTGCTTTTCGTTACTCAAACAAACAAACAAACAAATAAACAATCAAACAAACAAACGAACGAACAATCAAACAAGCTGATTAAACAGCCGTTAAAACATTTCGCTAAAAGTTTAAACTTTTTGTTGTTTTTTATTTGGTTTTGTTTTTTGGTTTTTTTTATTGTGTTTTTTGTGGGGGGGGGGGGTTGTTTGGTTTTTTATTTTGTTTTGTTTTCTCTTTTGTTCTCATTCAGGGCTGTCTACCCGGAGGGTCTCCGTGTATCCCCGGGGCCAACCAGTGCTGCAGGTTCTTCGGCCAGCAGTGTGTGGCTGTGGGGAACCCCGCCGCTCCGATCGCCGTGTGTGGGAGTGTGAGTACATCATGTAGTGAGCGCCGTGTGTGGGAATGTGAGTACATCACGTAGTGATCGCCGTGTGTGGGAATGTGAGTACATCATGTAGTGAGCGCCGTGTGTGGGAATGTGAGTACATCATGTAGTGAGCGCCGTGTGCGGGAATGTGAGTACATCATGTAGTGAGCGCCGTGTGTGGGAATGTGAGTACATCATGTAGTGAGCGCCGTGTGTGGGAATGTGAGTGCATCATGTAGTGAGCGCCATGAGTGGGAATGTGAGTACATCGTGTAGTGAGCGCCGTGTGTGGGAATGTGAGTACATCACCTAGTGAGCGCCGTGTGTGGGATTGTAAGTACATCACCTAGTGAGCGCCGTGTGTGGGAATGTGAGTACATCGTGTAGTGAGCGCCGTTTGTGGGAATGTGAGTACATCGTGTAGTGAGCGCCGTGTGTGGGAATGTGAGTGCATCATGTAGTGAGCACCGTGTGTGGGAATGTGAGTACATCACGTAGTGAGCGCCGTGTGTGGGAATGTGAGTACATCATGCAGTGAGCGCCGTGTGTGGGAATGTGAGTACATCATGTAGTGAGCGCCGTGTGTGGGAATGTGAGTACATCATGTAGTGAGCGCCGTGTGCGGGAATGTGAGTACATCATGTAGTGAGCGCCGTGTGTGGGAATGTGAGTACATCATGTAGTGAGCGCCGTGTGTGGGAATGTGAGTGCATCATGTAGTGAGCGCCATGAGTGGGAATGTGAGTACATCGTGTAGTGAGCGCCGTGTGTGGGAATGTGAGTACATCACCTAGTGAGCGCCGTGTGTGGGATTGTAAGTACATCACCTAGTGAGCGCCGTGTGTGGGAATGTGAGTACATCGTGTAGTGAGCGCCGTTTGTGGGAATGTGAGTACATCGTGTAGTGAGCGCCGTGTGTGGGAATGTGAGTACATCACCTAGTGAGCGCCGTGTGTGGGATTGTAAGTACATCACCTAGTGAGCGCCGTGTGTGGGAATGTGAGTACATCGTGTAGTGAGCGCCGTGTGTGGGAGTGGGAGTACATCATGTAGTGAGCGCCGTGTGTGGGAGTGGGAGTACATCATGTAGTGAGCTTAGTTTTTGTCAGAGTTTTACGGCACTTGCAACACAATAAGTTGTCCCTGGGGCGTTATGCACCCTGCATAATTGAGCAAAATTTGATTCATCTTTTGCATAATTTCTGATTATTTTCCTTTATCATTCTTAGTTAAAATTAACAGAATCGCTTAATTTCACTTTTTGGGGGGACTCAGTTTGCATAATTTCAGAATGTTTTGGAATAAAACAGGCGCGGACATAATAAGGTCATATAAGTGCCGAAGATTAGATCTAGAGGTGTTACAAGAGACTAACATACACAAAAAAAGAAGGAGGAGAGATAAGGACGATAGATATGTGATAGGAAAGAAGAAGGAAACCACACCAGAGCACCCGCCAATCAACCACGTACATGTAGTGAGAGACGTTTAATGGAATGTAATCGCTATCCTAGAATTACAAAGATCTACCTGCTCAGTACCTAGTTTTGAGAAATTTGACGTTAAAAATGCTGAGTTTCACAACATGTCAAGCTTTTTCGAATGCAATTATTTGGATATCTTGACAATGGCTCCGAATAATCTAACGGTTCTGACAGAGTAGATAGAACATTTTCGTTTCTGACCTCGTGGCCTTAGTAACTCAAAACGGTCAAAAATGTCAGATAGAACTTTATAATTCTGAGGTGGCGAGTTGTGAGATTATGACAGGTCAGGTGAGATGTGGTGATGTGAGGTGAGAGAAGATGAGGTGATATGAAATGAGAGGAAGTGAGTATAGGTGAGAAACATTAGACGAAATGAGATGAGATGAAGTGAGGTGAGGTGATGAAGGTGAGATGAGAGACTCAAAACAGACAAGATGAGGTGAGGTGAAATGAGATGAAGATGGAGAGAAAGAGGTGAGATATATATTAGAAGAAAAAGATGAGGTGAGGTGAAATGAGATGAAGATTAAGAAAGTCATGAGAAAAAGAACGGTGAACAGAAGGTGAGAAGCAATTGAAGAGATGCCGCAAGTTGAGGTGAAATGAGATCAGATGGGGAAAGTGAGATGAGAGAAAGTGGGGGAAAGTGAAAATCACTAGAAAAGAGAAAATGAGGTGAGTAGACTTGAGAAAAATTAGAAAAGATGAGATGAGGAGGGGTGAGATGAGAAGAAATGAAAAAAGTAAGATGGGAGAGGATGAGTACAATTGACTGTTATCGTCATTGTTATCTCTTTCATGGTCAATAATGTCGTCATCATTTTCACCTTTTTATCATCGTCAAACAAACAAACAAACAAGCAAATAAACATGTTATCTTCAGTTAGTAATCATGCCTCTCACACAAACAAACAAACAAACAAACAATCATTCAAACAACCAAGCAAACAAACAGACAAACAAACAAACAAGTTAACAAACATATATTATCTTGTGTTGCCAGTGTGTTGGTAATCACCCCTCTCCCATAAAGAAACAAACAAACAAATAAATAAACAAACAAACAAACATTATTATGTTGCCAGTGTATTGGCAATCATTACCCCTCCCTTAAACAAACAAACAAACAAATAAACAAACATACAAACACACAAACAAACAAACAAATAAACAAACATACAAACACACAAACAAACAAACAAATAAACAAACATACAAACACACAAACAAACAAACAAATAAACAAACATACAAACACACGAACAAACAAACAAACACATGTTCTGTTGTCTGTGTGTTGGCAATCATTACCCCTCCCTTAAACAAACAAACAAACAAACAAACAAATAAATAAACAATCAAACAAACAAACAAATAAACATATTATCTCCTGTTGCCAGGGTATTGGTAATCATCCCCCTCACATAAACAAACAAACAAACAAACAAACAAACAAATAAACAAACAAACAAACTATCTTCAGTTGCCAGGATATTGGTAATCATCCTCCTTATATAAACAAATAAAACAAACAAGTAAACAGTCAAAGAAACAAACAAACAAACAAACACATATCATCCTGTGTCGCCAGTGTGTGGCTCGCCTACAGCCCTGTAACCCACAAATCGCGCCAGGCTTCCTGGGTAGCTGCTGTGACAACTTCGCTTGTATTGACTTCGGCCTGGGCCCCGTCTGCTTCCCGCCACAGGGCAAATAGGTAGGTCATGTGACCTGAATCATTACATGTGTCTTCAATAATCCCATCATCATCATCATCATCATCATCATCATCATCATCATCATCACCATCATCATCATCATCATTGCCTTTCTCACCCTGTACCAAGGTATAGGCCTCAAACAAATACTTTCCACCTTTCCCTATCCTGGGCTAGTCGCTTGATCTCACTCCACGTCTTCCCACTTTTCTGTACATCCAGTTCCGTGACTCTTCTCCAGGTTCCACGAGGTCTTCCCCTTGATCTTTTATCCTGTGAGTTCCAATCTAACACTTCACGTCCGCAGAATTAAAAGTTCTATTCCAACAGTACCCTAGTTTTGCGAAATTTGACGTCAAAATTTGGGAATTTCACAATATGTTAAGCTTTCTCGAATGCAATTCGTTGAATATCTTGATAACGACTGACAATAATCTTACAACTTTGATAGAGCAGATAGAACATTTATTGGTTTGTGACCTCATGGTCACAGTGACTCAAAGCGGCCAAAAATGCCAGACAGAACTTTGTAATTCTGATGTACCGACTTGATGAGATCCAAGATCAACCACTGTCATGGCCGCCGGTTCTTGTTTTTGGGTTTTGTTTTTGTTTTTGTTTTTGGTTTGTTTGTTTGTTTGTTTGTTTGTTTGTTTGTTTGTTTGTTTGTTTGTTTGTTGTTGGGGTTTTTCCGGGGGGGGGTAGTAAAAGAGCTTAAAGCGCATAGAGCTTGCTGTTGAGCAAAGATATGCTCTATACTAATGCTATTTCTTATTAGTATTACATGTACTTGTATTATTGTTATTATTATTATTATTATTATTATTATTATTATTAATATTATTATTATTATCAATATAATATTATTATCATTATTATCATTATTATCATTATTATCATTATTATCATTATTATCATCATCATCATCATTATCATCATCATCATCATTATCATCATCATAATTATTATTATTATTATTATTATTATTACTATTATTATTAATGTTATCTTTATCTGTCTGTTTGGGTGCTAAATCTCTCTCAGTCCAGGATGATCCTAGCAGCCCGTTTCCTAATTGTCTTAACTGTGCCAAATGCGACCTAAAAAGCCGATAAACTAGGCAGTCAAAAGACATTGTACATCAGTTGAATTTTACGTACAACCACTCTCCAAAAGTTCGTTTCTTTCAATTGCATGTACTGTAAAAGTTTACTCATTTCAGATACATATATGTATTGCAAAAGTTGCCTTCTCTAAGATTCTTACTGTTTGTTTTTTTTCCCCACAGACAAGACACACAAGAAGCACGACCAGGCAGGACGAGAAGAAGAAAAAAAAACCGAAAATCAGAACAACATCTGTCGACATCTCATCAATCTCGTTGTTAAATGTCTTTGTGTTCTCTTTTTCTCGATTTTAACGTGTCATTTAGAAAATGATATGTATTTGAATAAAAACAAGTTATAGGGCTAACTAGATTTGTTTTTAATTCCAATGATTATCATTACTCCTGATTTCTGTCTTATCATCGCATTGCTGTTAACACTGTTCCCTAGCTGGAAAACCAGAATTTTAAAAAATAATAATATGATTCATATAGTACCCCTTTTTTTGTTTATGTATACACTATAGCCAGAACAAAAAAATATATGATTCAGACAGTACCCCTTATCTGTTTGTGAAAACACTATAACCTGAACAAGAAAAACAAAACATATGATTCATAGTCATCACCCGTTCCACTGTACAGCCCTAAATGACATCAGAGCTACCCTTCTCCCTCCGAGACCTAACATTGACAACACACTCTATAGAACATTACAGCAACCTGCACTTAACACTACATCGCATTGGACAGAAGGGCGAGAGCCAAGCTGTTGCTGGATCGATAACAACAACAACAACAACAACAACAACAACAACAACAACAACAACAACAACAACAACAACAACAACAAGATCTTCCTATTTTGCTCAACTCGACTCTTGTCTTGGCCTGATAGTATAGGCTAACACTAACAATGTCACCTAAGCAGAGACTGTGCCCACCATTTTGTCACGGTGACTGTAAAGATGGTTCTGGCATCAATAAGTAGGAGGTAAGTGTACCAGCAACTTCAGAGCTGTGCCTGAAACACTCTGAACCTGCAACGAGAAATTATTATATAGTTATAATAATAGATTACATTTCTATAGTGCTCTATCCCATAGAAGTATAAGCACGTTTGTTTGTTGTTGTTGTTTTTGTTTTGTTTGTTTTTCTTCAGCGTTGTTTGTTGTTGTTTTTTTTGGGGGGGGGGGTGTTTATATTTTTATCACATCTTATTTGGTTTGGGGGGTTTTTTTTACATTATTTTTCAGGAGGGGCGGGGGTAGGAGTCAACTCAACTGTCTTCCGCTACCCCTATCCTACTATCATATACCTGTATCGTGTCCCCTGCAACTGTGTATCTCTTGCCTTTGCCCAATGCCCTTATACGGAGTGCCCATTGGGGGGTCGGATTTGGTCAGCTCGGTTTGCTAGCTAGATTGATGTCGCAAAGCTGCTATCGTGGCACAAGCCGATTGCACCCGATTCACGCCTCAAGAACAAACGGTTTTGTTTTCAGGCGACGAGTGGGGCGATCGCCCCCAACCCGACCCGATCCGACCCGACCCGATCCCATCCGCAATGGGCACCCAGTATTAATCTATCTATCTGGGTCTTCGGGTGGGGTGCTGTAGCCTTCTCAGCCCAGATTAGTGGCGTCGGTGGTCTAGTGGTTAGGCTACCGGACTCGTAATCGTGAGGTTGCGTGCTCGGGGGGTTTGGGCCTCCGACATTGTGTCCTTGGGAAAGGCACTTAACACGAATTTCCCACTTGGCTGGATCCTTTCGGAGACGGACGTTAAACTCTGAGGCCCCTCCTCTTAAATAACATAATAGTGTTGATGTACGTTAAACCCATACCATTTCACCAGCTCAGATTAACCCTGACAGGCCTTTTAAAAAATCTAACGTGTGTTGATTGGTGGTG